AAAAAAAAGAAGGAAACTTAAGCCTAGAGAAATGGAGTGATTTCACTTAAGTTCACAAAGCATGTTGCAATAGAGCCAAGACCAAAAAAACAAGTTTTTAAACTCATAGTTAATTTTTTTACCATTCTATATGTTATTTATGTTTTTTTAAAAAAATCTAAGTTAATATTTTTCCCCCAAGATGATATTTTTTTTTTAATCACTTTTTTTTTTTTTGGCAGCTGGCCTGTACTGGGATCTGAATCCCTAACCTTGATGTTATAACACTGTGCTCTAGCCAACTGAGCTAACTGGCCAACCCTAAAGAAAAAAAAAATCACATAATCAATAGTATATCTCTTTTACTTTGCTTTAAAGTATGTTTAGATCTCTTCTATTCATAAATACTTTTCATTGGCCATGCTATTTATTGCAGTCTCCTGCCATCAGCTACCAAACTTCTTAAAAGAGCAATCTATTACCATCATTTTCATTTCTTCACTCACTTATTCCTTAATCCTTTAGAAGTAGAATTCTATCTTCAGATTCTAAGGAAACCGTCGGTTGTCATTTGCTTCCTAATTATCACGTCCACCCTTTTCTCACTCTTCCATCTTCTCAGCCTTTCTTTAGCACTTGATGTTGTTCATCCTTTTCTAAAGCCTGTCTTCTTGGCTTCTATTGCTAGTGTATACTCCGGATTCTTCCCCTATCTTATTTTTGCTAGTTTCCACCTTTCCTCCTTCAATTTGTCTATCTTTTCCCTTCTTTTTTGCTATATTCTCCCCCGTCAATCTCATCTACTTCTAAGGATTGTCTGCATGACAATGAGTCTCAACTGTATTTTATCAGCTGCAGATCTGCATCCAATTACCTGATAGATATTGTTACCTAGATATTTTTTTATACCTCAAAGTCAACATATAACTAAAAAACTTACATTTGGTTTCTCCTGTTTTTCTCATCTGCAAGCAGCCTTTCTTCTTGCCTTTACTACAGGAGGTCATAATGTTTGGAAACAGACAAATATCTTTTAAGTGGTTTGTTGCTATTACATAGTGATATATGGTATGTTCAGTGTATTGTCTCTTATCAGCAATGCATAGTTTAATGTGTTGTTTAAATTGCAATGAATGTGGTACATTAAAATAGCATTTCCATCCATTTCATAGGCATCTGAGATGTGTTGCTTCAAAGTATTGATATATTTGACTTTTACTGAATAAAGCTGTGTCTTTACATTCCTCTGGAGAAGTAATCAAGAGGGTTTGATCTATTTAAAACACACGCGCACACACACGCACACACACACACTCTTCTAGATTTATAGCCACCCTATATTTCTATTATTTGTACCATTATTCTTTTAGGCATCTACATTAAAAAAATGTAGGCCCTCCTTCAGTCCTTAAATCTAGTTTTTGTCCAAGTCTTTTAAATATTTCTCGCATACTTTTTTTTTATGTAACTACCTTTTTATACCTAATTCAGGTTCTCAGGACTCCTCTCCTGGATTATTTCAGGAGCCTCCTAACCAGTCTTCTCACCTCCACTTTTTTCTGTCTCAGTTTGTCTTAGAGTACAGTTCTGAATATATCACTGCCTAAATTAGAAATTCAGTTGTTCACCATGGCCCATAACATAAGGTTTAAATTCTATATATATATATATTTTTTTAAAAACAGCCTTTTGCAGCATATATATATATATATTTTTTTTTTTTTAAAAAACAACTGTAAAGAGCTGCAAAAGGCTAATTTTACTGGATTGTAAGGTGCTTGGAAGCTTGGCTATACCTATTTATCTTTGTATTTTATTTTTTAAAAACAGCCTTTTGCAGCTCTTTACAGTTAATTTTACTGGATTGTAAGGTGCTTGGAAGCTTGGCTATACCTATTTATCTTTGTATTTTAGCTGTCCTCCTTCTAGTTCAATGCCATATGTGCAGACATTAGCATGTTAGCTAAGAAAGGTCACTATAATAAATAAATTGGGAATATTGTTTGGTTTAAATGGAAAAGGAAAATATCATTTCTAGTTCTGATGTTTTTCTGGGAATATTCTGTACATAATAAAAGAAAAAGAATGGGGCCGGCCCAGTGGCGCACTGGAGAGTGCGCTGCTTGGGAGCGTGGTGGCGCTCCCGCTGAGGGTTCAGATCCCATGTGGAGACCGGTTCCCGCTCACTGGCTGAGCGCGGTGTGGGCGCAACACCAAGGGTTGCGATCCCGTTACTGGTCAGTAAAAAAAGAAAAAAAGAAAAAAAAAAAAAAAAAGAAAAGAAAAAGAAAAAGAATGGCCAGTACTTCTCAGATAGCTAGAACATGTGTGAGCACAGTTGGCATTCTGTTTTTCTCATTTACTAGTGAAGGACTAGCAGCATTTTATGTAATTCTTATTTCCCCAGGTGAAGACAAAACTTAAGCCAAATTCTTCGGAAAACATAGTGAGTAAAAAGCAGGAAGATACTACTGTGATGAAGTCTCATAACCAAGAAATCACTGTTTCCTCGGGTTATCTTTCCCAACCCAACAGGCATCAAGAAATCTGGTCTATCCTAGAGAGTATTTGGATTACAATATATCAGGACAGGTACTAAATTTTAAAGAATTTTTTAATTCTAGAGTTACAAGTTTTTTTTTTAAAGGGTTTTCCATTATTACTATTATTCACTAAACAGTGTTATGTTTGGGTTGTGAGTTTAATGTATTGGATTGTTTTACTGAGGGCCTTTTGTCAAATTGGTACGTTAGAAACAGTGATGCTTAAATAGGGGTGCACATCAGAATTACCTGTAGAGTTTTAAAAATATGTATTCCTAAACTCTATCTCTAGAAATTCTGATTCAGTAGGACTGAATGAAGCTGAGAGAATGCATAGAAGAAAACTCTCCAGGTGATTCAGATGTGACACCTTAATAAGAGGCATTGCCTATATATGTCAAATACAAAAGAAAAGTCACCTAGATTGACTAAACAAATCAGCAGGATACAAGGCCTTAATAAAATTGAAAATAATTTTAAAAAGATCAGGCTGGATTAGGAAAAGTTCATGTAAGATTTTTTTGTTTTTTAAATGAAACAAATACTTTTGTTTCAAAGGAAAAAATACTTCATAAAATACTTTGGTCTTGGTAAAATAAGGACATAGAGACTATAAGTAGTTCTTCAAATAGGCTGCTGCTAGAGTAGCTTAAAAAATAATTTAAAACCACTGATTGTAAAGTAGTTGGACACTCCCTCCTATACTTTTCCCCAAGCCGATAATCTTTATGTAATTAATTTGCTAAGCCAATGCTTTGTAGTATGATTTTGGCTTAAGGGTCCAGTGGTTTAAGGGTCCAGTGTGATTGTTGTTCTGTATTAAGATAATCTATTTGTTCTAGATGTTCACAAGAACAACCTGAGTAATACTAGCACTCTATTTAAACATTTGTTCTCAGGTCGGCCCGTGGCTGACTTGGGAGAGTGCGGTGCTGCTAATACCAAGGCCATGGGTTCGGATCCGAGTAATACTAGCACTCTATTTAAACATTTGTTCTCAGGCCGGCCCGTGGCTGACTTGGGAGAGTGCGGTGCTGCTAATACCAAGGCCATGGGTTCGGATCCCTATATAGGGATGGCCCCTTAGCTCACTGGGTGAGCATGGTGCTGACAACACCAAGCCAAGGCTTAAGATCCCCTTACCGGTCATCTTTTAAAAAGAATAAAATAAAATAAAATAATAAACATTTGTTCTCAATTGGCTATTACAGTATTGTAAATTTGGGGCTCATTTTTAGTCCTCAGCCATAATTAAAGTTTTTTTCCAACAAATTTATAGCCTATCATTCTACGAAATAACTATACTTGGCATATGAGCTAAAGAAGACAATATTTACAAATTTGTATTTTCATATAAAGCATAGGTATTGTTCATTTGTTTCTTCCAGTCTTAACATATTTTTAAGGTTTTGGCCAGTCAGATATTCTGGTTAGCAGAAAGTTACCATATATACCAGGTAGGGATTACTGCATTCAAAATAAAATAGATTAAAACCAAATAGATTAAAGTCATATCTAAGACATTTCAATTTTTGTTTCCTTTAGAAAACATTTGAGAACTTTATATACCTTGGAGTTGATGTATAATATACATGCATTTGTGTTGGATACTAGAGAGTTCTGTGTACTTTCTGGATAATAGACTTTACACAATAGTATTTCAGTAAGTGAAAGATGCTTGTATTGCCTTATCAATAATATTTATTTAAGCTTACTTCATTGCTTCTCAAGCCTGGTTATATACCAAAGTCACTGCAGAACTTTGTCAGCATAATCATGAGGGCCTTTCATGCGAAGATGCTCATTTGGAGGTCTAGTAGGACCCATTCACAATTACTCATAAAATTATGACAGCACTTACACACAACTGTAAATGCCATCTACTTGTACCATGGTTTAGTAGCACATCAGGTCAGGTTTTTGGTGTCTTTTCTATTTATAAGGAATTTGGGTAAGTGTTAGACACTATTAACAATTCCAGTTTAAAAAATTTTTTTCCTGATATTTTTCATTCACGCTTCTGAGACATTTTTTTTAAAACGTGTATTTTGAGTTTGCAGCGGGAACTATAATTAAACAAACTGCCTTCTTATCTTTTGTTATTACTTTTCTTTGTGACTCAGAATTTTATTAATACTATGAAGGTGAAATCAGTAAAAAAAAGAAATTATTTTTGACAGTTAATTGGTTGATAATTTTCTGTAAATTGACTACTTAATAACCAATTTAATAATTTATTTAATAATCTAGAATTTCATGAGTCTGAAAATAGATTGGAATTCTATAACTCTGATTTGAAATGTTTATATTCAAAATCACCTCATTATTCTTAATGCCTGACTTTATAATAAAGTGAATGTAACAAAAATTAATATTGATTATATTGTTTTGATCTATTTTTGCATATTGTTCTATTTTGTGTAAACATTATTTGAACAAAAATATTTTGTTTACTAAGAAAAATGCAAACATGGTTCCTGTGGGACATAAAGAGAGTAACTTTGGGCAGATCATCTAGTCTCTCTGAAACTCAGTTTGTTCATCTAAAATCAGAGAATAGGATTAGGTGATCTTTAAGGTCCCTACATATTCTGAAATTTCATGACTTTTGGATTGTGGACAATTTTTATTTATTTATTTTTATTTATTTTTTATTTTTCTAAAAGATGACTGGTAAGGGGATCTTAACACTTGGCTTGGTGTTGTCAGCACCACGCTCAGCTGGTGAGCTAACCAGCCATCCCTATATAGGGATCTGAATGCATGGCCCTGGTGTTATCAGCACCGCACTCTCCCGAGTGAGCCACGGGCTGGCCCTATGGACAATTTTTAGATATAACATATATGCCTTCAATTTGATTTCAACTCCATTGTGTCTTCTTTCCTAAAGAATGTTTAACTTACCTCTCCCAGATACTAGGTTAGTATTAATATGGCATATGGCATTTAAAGTTTACCAAAGTTAGGGACTGGCTGGTTAGCTCAGTTGGTTAGAGCGTGGTGCTGATAATACCAAGGTCTAGGGCTCAATCCCAGTAACAGCCAGCCCCCCAAAAACAAACAAAAAATAAAGTTTACCAAAGTTTTATCTAAGGATTTACCAATAGCTGGCTCAGAATGTAAGTGGTTTATTAAATGTTCTCTTATTGCTTTGGCACTAATCAGTTGACCCAAATTCTTATTGAGAAATTAAGTAGTGGTAACTTTTTAAAAATTTCACTTTAAGCTAAGTATTTTAATGTTACATAATATAATACATGCCATTATATGCACCAAAATTTTCTTTTAGTAAGGTAAAAAATATATTTATTGACCAATCTATTTCTACAGATTTACTACATTTTCCTTATATCTTTTCAGACTTGTCAAATGTTTTACCTCCTACAGAGGTATCCTTTACTTTTCAACATGTGATAGCTTCTTGTTTTTTTTTTTCCTTTTTTTTTTTTGAGACCGGTCGCACCACGCTCAGCCAGTGAGCGCTGTGAGTGCACCGGTCATCCCTGTATAGGATCCGAACCCACGGCGGGAGCGCTGCTGTGCTCCCAGCGCCACACTCTCCCGAGTGCGCCACTGGCTCGGCCCTGTTTGTTTTTGTTTTGTTGCTCACTTTTATTTTGTTATCATATCTTAGGTCTTACAACATACTCAGGGCCTGGTATTAATATCTGAGATAGCTTCTACTAGTTTATTGTTTATCAACATAGCAGAAAGTATGTGAACTTGTAACATTAAGACTGCTGTTTTGGAGGAGTTTGAGATGGGGCGGGGAGAGGAAGGGGAGACTTTCCAGTTTCTCCAGGACTGATATATGGTTATTCAAACTTAGTTCTAAAAAGGTCCTTATGAGAAATTTGAAAATTTCCAACCATTGCTTTTAGAATTCTGTGAGTTTTCTCAATTAAGTTCAGTATTAGGCTTTATTAAGTAATTTCATTGATGTCATCTTTTATGAATTTTTGCTGAAAAACAAGGCAATTATGGTGATTTGGGAGTAAAAATTGAAAATAAAAAATAGTCTTATTTTTAAAAGATTTAGTTTTGTGAGTAATTTAATAAAAAATAAATACAATTATTTTACAACAGATTGCTCTTTTGATCCTTTTTTAAAAAAATCAGTATACTCAGGGCTGGCCCCATGGCGCACTTGGGAGAGTGCAGCGCTGGGAGCGCAGTGAAGCTCCCACTGCGGGTTCGGATCCTATATGGGAATGGCCAGTGCGCTCACTGGCTGAGCGCGGTGCGGGCGACACCAAGCCAAGGGTTGTGATCCCCTTACCGGTCGTGTAGCTGGAGCAAGGTGAACAGGGGGCAGAGTAGAAGGAGATGAGGCGGGAAGAGAGAGTGTGCTGATTGTTTAGGGCCCTGTAGGCCATTGTAAGAATTTAGGGCTTTTACTGTTAGTAAAAGCTACTGCACAGTTTTAAGCAAAGTAATGATAAGATCAGAAAAAATGATTGCTCTGCCATGTTGAGAATAGACTGTGAAATGACAAGGGTGAATCAGGAAGGCCAGTTAGGTGTCTGCTATGATAAAATCCATATGGAAGATGATGACTTAGACCAGGGTAGTTGTAGTAGAGAAGATAAAAATTGGTCAAATGCTGGGTATATTTTAAAGGTAGAACCAACAGGATTTGATGATGTATCTCAAGAGTCAGGAGCAAAAGTAGTAGTACCTGCAGGAATAGATTATTGTTCCTGCTAGTCCTGTGTCTGGTGTAGCTATTGTCATCCTCATCTCTTTATCATTTCTCCTACATTCTACCATTTAGGATAAATCCTGGAGGAGGAGCTTTTAGTGCCCTAATCCTTTTACCTAAACTGTATAATTCTTTTTTTTTTTTTTCCCTTTTTGTCTTTTTTCGTGTCCGGCAACGGATCGCAACCCTCAGTGTCGCGCCCGCACCGGACCGGGACCGGCAACGGGATCGCAACCCTTGGTGTTGCTCCCGCACTTCGCTCAGCCAGTGAGCGGGAACCGGTCTGTATGTGGGATCCGAACCCTCGGCGGGAGCGCCGCCGCACTCCCAAGCGGCGCACTGTAGTAGTGCGCCACCGGGCCGGCCCTAAACTGTATAATTCTATGTAAAAATTGTAATGGAAGTTTTTGGAATAATAGTATCCAGTATGTAGAGTTTTGATTTACTGATGACTTTCCTGGAAGGTGTTGTTTCCTGTTTTTTCTTTTAATCTCTCTCTCTCTCTCTCATACACACACAGATATGATTTTCCTGTATTCTCAGAAAAAGATGAAGAAAGAATCCGTGGATATTATTCTTTTTTTTTTCTTTTTTACTTTTATACCTCACAACCGAGTGTAGACCTTGATAAATATTAATAATGTCTATCTCTGGTTGGTAGACTATGGGCATTACATATTCTCTTTTTACATTCCTGTATTTTTCAAATTTTCTATGATGACTAGGCTTTAAATGTATACAATTTTTTAAAAGATACTTTAAAAAAATAAAATAAGTTTGCATTTATTTAAAACAATAAGTGCACACACACACAAAATATCTGGAATAGGCAAATCCACAGAGACAGAAAGCAGATTAGTGGTTGCAGGGGTTTGGTGGAGGAAGAGAAGAATGGGGAGTAACTACTTCATGGGTTTTTAGTTTCCTTTTGGGATGATGAATGTGTTCTGTAATTAGATAGTGGTTATGGTTGCACAACATTGTGAATATACTCAATACCACTGAATTGTACACTTTAAAATGGTCAAAGTGGTGAATTTTCTGTTTGCGTATTTTACCACACTTATAAAAAGAGTACATGAAAAGTACTATAAAGTAGGGGAGAAAATGCCCTTGAGTGCTACTACCTAAAGACTATCATAATTAGCGCTGTTATTGTTATTATGTACATCCAGCTTTGCTTTTAGTAATATGTATTAGTGTCCTAGGGCTACCACAACAAATTACTACAAACTGGGTAGCTTAAAACAGCAGAAATTTATTTGCTGACAGTTCTAGAGGCCAAAAATCTGAAATCCAAGTGTATATAGGGTTGTTTTCTTCTGGAAGTTTTGAAGGAAAATCTGTTCCATGCCTTTCTCCTGTCTTGTAGTGGTTGCCAGCAATTCATGCCTTGCAGACGTGTCACTCCTATTCCTTTGTCTTCATATAGGATAGAGCCCACTCTAATCCATTTTAACTTAACTAAATACATCTTCAAAGACCCTCGCCCAAATAAGGTCATATTCTGAGGTTCTGGGTAAACACGTATTTTGGAGGGACACTATTCAAACCCAGTACAGCATATTTTGATTTTTATATGGTTGCTATTATGTTCTATAAGTGAATTTTCTGCACCTTTATATTTCTATTTCATAGATGGCATAAATATCAGTTTAATAGATTGGTCTTTCTTCAACTAGCTAATTCACTATTTACTTACACTTTCTATATTATTGGACATTTAGGGTATTACTAATTCTTGCCCAATTGTAAATAATTATTAATTTATGTTAGATTTCTAGAAGTGGAATTTCTAGAGTAAACTTCTAGTTTCAACTGATACTTAATCTAATATCTAATTTTTTTCTTCACTTTATGTTCGTAAGTACTAACTTGAATGTACGTTAATAATAGTATTACTTCTCCTCCATCTCTGTGGTCTCTTAGAATGAAACATTATTTACACAGCTTTTACAACATGACTTAGGTTAGACTTGTATAGTGTCTGACCTAGATACTTTGCATAAATGTTAGTGACTTTCATGGTCACTATCTTTTATTTCTAATTTAAATAGATCAGCATTACAAGAGATGAATTATAAATATTACTGTATTTTTGACATTGGCAATGGAAGTACTTGAATTACAATGAATATGCATGTGTACCTATGAATATCTTTTCTATTTTAGCATGGATGTGTTTCAAAGACTGGGCTCAAATTCAGCTCTGACAACTTCAAAAATAGCATCATTTGAAGAAGCATTTATATATCTTCAAAAATTAATGGCAGCCGTGAGGGATATCCTTGAAGGAATTCAGAGGTAAACACTACATTAATTTAAGAGTTCTCTTTATTACTTTTCTCTTTCTTCTAGACTTATCAGCTTTTTCAGAGTTTCTGGGAAGTCTTCCAGCAAGTTTTATAAACTAATGACTTTTAGATTCAACTCTTTCTTCCCTGCAAAGAATCTCTATATCTAGTTTGGACCACAAAAATGTTTTCACTTTTTCTCTTTGTAGAAAAAAATATACGGCAGGTTGTAAGATTCATGAAGAATTATTATTTTTTTATTGTATGACTATGGCTCCTAGAACAGTACCTGGCACATAATGGGCACTTGGTAATTACTTGTGGAATAAATATATGTTAAGGTAATTATCACTGCCTTTTAAAAATAAATATATGTTAATATTTTTTGACATGACTGATTTCATCCATGTCACAGTACTACAAACTGAAATAAGTTTGAGAAGCAACATAGTCTTATGGGGCTTTGAGACTTATACGTATGTGATTATTTTAAACATTTGTGATGTATTATATAGGAAATATAGTGCCAGATAGCTATAGAATGGACTATAGCAACTTCATAGCATGAAATCACATGCTTTCTTTAGTGGTACTAAAGGAGGGTAATTCGAAACTTTGCTATTTTATTGGTATATACCAAAATTGCGTGACCTGAATTAGATATGCAACTTGCTAGCAGAAAAATGCTGTTTTTTGTAAAAACAAAAACAAAATTGAATTGATTTTGCTGTGTCCAAGTTTGATTAACTTGGATTTTCAAGACAGTAGGCATTTTTTTTTTCTTTTGTCTTTAATGGTTTCTGGAAATTTTATCTCACTGTAAATATAAAAGGCATTTTTACCTATTTTTGGATCACAGTTGGCCTAAATGATTCTTAGAATAAAAAATTATCAAGGCCTTTTGCCACCCCTAAGTTATTAATGAATTAAAAGCATGGCAGATTCTAAGGCAAGCTAAATGTTACCTCTAGCTTCAAGTAGTCCCTATAATTTAAAACAGTATTGAATTAGAGTGGCTCTATGAGGGAGAAATATTCAGTTTTGATTTTAAGTATGTAAAAACTGTTGCTTACTCTAGGATGCATAAAAGCCATGCTTGACAATACCTTTTCTACAGAAAGTAAGATATATATGTGTATTCAATCACTCAACAAGTGTTTTTTGCACACCATCTATGCTTAGCATCATACCAGGCACTGGAGAACCAAAGATAAATAAGATGTAGCCTCTAACTTTGAACAGCTTGTAGAAGTAATGCAGTCACATTAAAATAGATAATTGCAATCAAGAGCTATTAGTATTTTAACAGGGATATATGCAGTGGAGGGAGGAAGGGTTTGGCGAAAGATGAGGCTGGATCAAGGTTGGAGGAGAATGTCTTGTTATCCTATAGGCTAGAATTTCATACATTCAGAGCTGTTAATTATGTGCCTTGACAGATGTGTTTCTGGTCCAAAAATCTTTGGAAATATTGTATACTGAGCCACTCTCTTGGGAAATCATTATACAAGAGTACTTCAAAAAGTTCATGGAAAAATAAAATTAAAAGAGAATACAAATCTTTCCATGAACTTTTTGAAGTACCCTCATTTACCCGTTATCATATTAATGGCTTTATAAACCTTTTTAGTTTTAAGAACTTTACAACATATTGATGCCTGGGTCTCCCACCCCAGAGATTCAGATGTAATTGGATTGGGGTGTGCCTGGGTATCAAGAGTTTAAAAATTTCTTTAGGTGATTCTAGTGGATAGGCAAATTTGAGAACCACTAGCTGATATGCTTATCCAGTAGTTCTCAGAGTATATTCACAAGACCAGCATCACCGCCTTGAACTTATTAAAATGCAGATTCTCAGGCCCTTCCAGACTTACTGAATGAGAAATTCTGGGCATGGAGTCTGGCAGTCTGTCTTCTAGATCAGTCTGTGCACGCTAAAGGCTGAGCATCACTGGCTTAGGTGATTCTCAGCTCTCGTGGCAGATTATAATCACCTGGGAGTTTTAAAAAATAGCAATGGTTGAGCCCTACCTAAAACTTATTAAATCTGAGTCTTTGAGAGTGGGACCTGTGCATAGGCATTTCTACAGACTCCCCAAGTGATGTGTCTGAAACCAGGGTTGAGAAGATACAGCATATACTGCTTACGTAAGCTATATTTAAAAGAAGTAATTGGATTTTAAGGCTGATACAATTTTGTTATTCTTTCTTCTTAAGAACACATAACCTGATACCTTCTTCAGAAGAATATATGAGAAGATGTATGTGAAAATACTTTTTAAACATAATTACAAGTATTAGTCTTGTTTTCTCTTTAAAACTGATATGTTAAATTTGAAATGTTTAAAATGTGTATTTTAATTTTAATAAAGCTGTAAACATGATTGTGGTTAGTTAAAATTGAAAATATTGGTGAAGGAATTGTCCATACCGTTATACAAGTGGGAGCAGAATACCTAATTTTGCAGAGTTTGAAAAAGGGTGGCGAAAGGAATTGTTCATACCGTTATACAAGTGGGAGCAGAATACCTAATTTTGCAGAGTTTGAAAAAGGGTGGCGATATTCCTATGCTTTCTGAATATTTTCTTTTTGGGTAGGAGAGGAAATTTAATTAGCTTATTTGCTGATGGTTTAGAAAATTGCTTATCTCCTCTCATCTTTCCTTCTAAGTGTATGTAGGATTAATTTGAGCATTTTTGTTAATGGTTTTCTTTTCTAAACACTAGAGAACCAGGTGCAGTGTAAACAGGTTTTTTTTCTATGTAGATAAAAATGTTTTAAGATATTCTTTTCTACGTCTATACAATCCAATCTCAATTTATACTTTAGTAAACTTATGTCTAGGTTGGTCAAGTAACTCTTGAGACCATAAAAACATTTCGCTTAGTGTGTAAAGATAATAAAGCTTTATTTGGAGCAAAATATTAATTAGAGTTGAATTGCAAATTCTAAAAATAAGGAAAGTTCTGCTACTTGTGCGTTGATCAAAAACATTCTCAAATGTCTACATGTGTTTTCTATTTAAACTGGCATCTCTACAAAGTGAACAGGTCATGCTACTCTGAGGCATACTATAAATGTGTGCAGCTTCAGGTTGAAAGCTAATACTCAAAGCAACAATGAAACTGTTTTAGATATGTTTTTGTGAATATGAGGTAGATGATAAGCTGCCTGGTTTAGAAGCTGAGGAGAGAAGGCGCGAGGGTGAGGATGGAAAATTGCAACCTGCTTAGATTTTGTAGTATGTCTGTTTCACCCTTATTAAGTAAGGTTGAAATTATTTTTTTAAAAAAACAACTAAAAAAAGTTGTAGCATTTTGAATCCAAAAATATAACTAGATCATGCCCAAGTGTGTTTGGTTTAATATATAAAACTACACATTTCTGTCTCAATTTCATGAACTCTTAGATTTCTGGCTCAAGTAGCTTTAGATTAAGTGTTTGAAGTAATGAATGTCTTTTTAGTTTTATATTTTGAATCATATGCAGGGACGGGAAGAGGGAGAGAGAGGAACTATTCCTTATCAATAACTTGGCACATTTTGAGGGGATGCTTTTATATGAAAGGATATCTCTTAAATTTAGATAACATTTTTTTGCTAGCTGTCATTTTGTTTTGATTATATTGAAATGTAGCAATACGTGAGCACTACTTGGTGCATTTAAACATGATCATATGCTGCCTTGGCATTCATGCCTGCTCGTAAAATATGATTTTAGAAAATGAAACCTCTGTTTGGATTTAGGAAAGGAGGATGATTAATTTTTATTGAGTTGTTTAATCTTGAAAGCTTTAATAATCTCTTACATTCCTCTGGCTTTGGTTTGAAATACTTTTAGAGATTTTTAAAAAAACAGTTGTAGTCATGAAGTTTGAGATTTTTTTCTTGTGATTTACATATATTTTCTGTTTTCTTATTAAACCTCTAAAAAATTAATTTTTCTGTTAATCTTTTGCCCCACAAACAGACCATATACTGGTATATCTATACATGATTCCTGAAAAAAGTAATCCTGCAATCACAGCAGCTTTTCAGATCCACTAATGATTTAGCTGCTTCAAAGATACTGAGTTTGCATTTGAGAGAACATTTTATTAACTGCCTCTTTGACTTACTATTGTATATTTTGATAGCTAACCTTTTGAGGTTTTCGGAAAGGTTATTTAGAATAGGTCATCCTTCAGTTGACATAAAGATAACACTCTTTAAGCTGCTTCTTCAGATTAAGCTAGTTGTTGAAATAAAAACTTTTATTAGAGACATGCTAATGTGTAGAAAATAAAGACCTTAAACATGTCATCCTTTGAGGTTTAGAAATGACTGTTTAGTCAGGGTTCTCTAGGGAGACAGAACCAATAGGATATGTTATAAATATATGAGAGGGGATTATTAGGGGGATTAGCTCATGATATTGTAAAGAGAAGTCCCATGATAGGTCATCTGCAAACCGGATGCTGGTATCATGGCGTAGTCCAAGTCCGAAAGCCTCAGAACCAGGGAAGTTGATGGCGTCCTTGGTATAAGTTCTGGATGCTAGATTTTATTTTACATATCTGAAGCTCTTGTGTAGGCTTCCCAGCATTTGTCATTAAAGAACAGGAGATAAAGACCTTATGTTTATCCTAAATATCAGTGGAGAAATGTCATAGTTATTCCCACCACTCCTAGAGCATTCTAGGTGTTGTTCCTTGTTTTAGTCAGTAAAATCCAGTTTTGGATGACACAGTTAAATGCCTCTTGTCATAAACTTACACTAGAATTAAGCAAGCAAATATAATATGAAGAATCTTTTTTATTTCTTTTTTTTTTTTTTTTTTTTTTTTTTTTTTTTTGCAGCTGGCCAGTACGGGGAACCAAACCCTTAACCTTGGTGTTACAAGGCTGTGCTCTAGCCAACTGAGCTAACTGGCCAGCCCAAAAATTACATCTTGAAGATAACAAATACCTTAATTTGTTTGTGGAGTTATTTTTGTTTACAACTAATATTCTTTTATTTAACTTTGCCTT